GTTCACACAAAATACAGGTACTCCTAAATTGCAAAAAAACCTCCCAACCCCTCAGATCTCAGAGTAATTAGTATGTAGACATGGAAATTCTTAATAACATGATAACTATTGTTGGAAAGCTAATTTGTGGGGGTTCTCAAGCTCCATGTCAGCCCTGTGTATCTGCTGGTTGGTATTGTTTAAAAGACAAAAAAGTTTAAAGCCTTTGCCTGCACAGCAGCCAATTTTTATTCAATAAATCATCTAGAAGTAGAGCCAAACTGAAAAACTTCTGTCGTTTTATGCACCATGGAAACAAGAAACATGTCAATCTGCAATTACCTATTCTACATTCATTTGAGATCAATTTTTGCTGGGGGAGTATAGCCAAGAGGATCAGCTCTACAACCTGTGTTTGTCCATGTGAGATGGACAAAATTTAATTTTTGTTTCACTCTCAAATAAGTATAAATATTAAAACGTAAATCAGATTGATGCCAGGGTGCATCTCAAACTGCATTACAGTCTAATAAAGGCTATAAACTTTTATTCTCACATAATTTCCTACAGCAATGTCAACAAGAGAATATAAAAATATTCATAGTGTTCATCTGTAAATTCCACTGTGATAAAACTGCATGCTGAGTTCCTAAGTGATCTCATATATTCAGATTTTCCTCCAGAGCTGAAATATTGCTTGCTTGAGCACTATGAAAGCCACTTATTTTTAACATCTCATACTAATTTTGTATATTTTCCCATAAATGAAACACTGTCACTTTTTAAATTGAGATAATCTGTCTGATAGACTCCTCTAGCCTGAAGGTTTATCGTGTTTAATTTATAGCTTTTGTACCTTTCAAATGCTGATGCTCATTTGTGAAACTCTCAAAAACATATTTTAAAATCCTCAATATAGCAAGACCCTCAAATGTACTCATGTGCTTAAGTGTCATGTGCATCATGTTATCCCATTCAGCAGGATTCCCCAAAGCCTTACAAGGCTTAAGTGCTTTTCTGTGTCAGATTTGAAACTCTCATGTTAATTAAGTGTGCTCCAAGCAGAATTAATGGTTACAACTGCCTACAGTGCTCATGGCAGCTCCTAGGCTCTCTAAGCTTTGACTTGAAACTTTATTAAAACAGAACAAGTAGTGATAGCACATTTTCAGTATCTCTATCAGTATCAAAAGGCAGGCAGAGCCAGGTGACATGGGAAGGGAAGGTTTAGATGTTAATTCCAGAAGAGATTCAGCATGGCAGGTGATGTAGTGGTAACTCTGCTTCTTTGCAAGAAGGTAGTAGTTGAATGGGATATGTAGCTAGCTCTTACCAATTGTTATCTCCAGTAAACTCCTGATTTCATCAGCATGCCAGGCAGCCAGTCTGGGCAGGTAAAGAGCAGACATATAGGTATGACTGAACACACTGCTACTGTATTTACATAATAAAATTGGGGTGAAAACTCTTCCCATTTCCACTTATAACATCCACTTGACTGCGCGTCTTCATACGTGGTAGGAAGAGGTTTTGTGAGGCTCAATTACATGTGGTAATTGTAACTCAAACTACCCAGAACAACTACTAATCATGTACCAGAGAAAGCCATCATTGCAGAAGGTTATTCTCCATAAGTCTTCATATCCAAAAAGAGTAACTTTCTGAAGGACATCTGTTATCCAGAACTAGTTATTCGGTTTCATATGGGTGTAAATGGATGAAACAGGAACTCAGATTATTTAATATACTCCCTTTTGGATTAAAATCCATGACTTTTTAGTTGCATTTTAAATATGCACTATCTGGCACAAAGAATATGGTCTTACCAAAAACTCTAATACCAATCAATTACATAACATTTCCATAATGATACAGGAACACTGAGTATTCTCTCCTTTATGTACTTTCTTAAATCCCATATGGAAAAAAACATGTCTTCTGTCTAGTTCTACCTGAGGCACTACCAGTCTGGCATTTTGCTTTCAGGTTCTGTTAACATCAGTATTGAGATCAAAGGTATTAAAACTTAAAAAATCTGACATGTTGTGTCAAATTACAAAGACAGTATCTGAGAGTAAATGGAAGAACAGACAGACTGAATTAAGTAGCAGAAAAAGGGAAAGGAACAGAATGATAGAAGGGAAGATAGGGACAAATGTACAAAAATGAAAGATTATGCAAATAGTCTAGCATGATCAGATGAGTATGAAAAAAAACATTAAATATAGTTGAAAGCACAAATGTAGGGATATAAATTCATACATAAAACACATAGCTACAGATAGTATGGGCACGATCCCATTAACACTTTATGCACACACAAGATTTTATTCACAACATTTGCTTAAGTTAGAGAGTAATACTCATGTGAATAACATGTTCAATAGGTAGAAGGATCTGGCCTTTCACCATTTTTCCTTGTGTACATCATGTACATCTGTAAAACATTTAAGTAGGCATTTCGACTTTGAAGAAGACAGAACTTGGAAGATAATAGGACCTAAGGGAAACCCTTCCATGAAAGCTGGTGGAGCTGCAGTTCTACAAAGAACCGAGAGGAATACTTAAGGACTAGTTATTTGACAATGCAACTAATGTTATTAGTTTGAAGCATAATAAAGTAAAAGCTGCAGTTTGCACAGATGTGGAATACTTGTCAGAAGAAAGCATAATCAATGTGTGAATCCGGAGTCGGGAATCCTAATTAACCCTCTAACTGCTCTCAGCAAGAAGGCTAATAGCAAGTCTGAAATGGTGTAAGTGACTTATTCTTAGGGGATTGCTTCTGCTAATGAGACTTTTAGCTTACCTCACCTGTTTTTATAATAATGAGGCACCTTTATAGGGCAATAAGCAACTGGTTTGCCTAACAGCAGACACTGTTGTGATTCTCATGAGTGACTTTTCCTTGTGATACAAGTTATTTTCTTCATTCTATGGAAAAGAAACTAAATGTCACTTTCCATGAACCATTGGAGGGCCAGGGATGGAGTTTACGGATCAAGGACATTTAGGATGACAGTACAATTTTCCTCTAGAAGATGACATCTGATACTCTTCTGGGAATAGTGTTTTACAGGATCTAAAAAAAACATGAAGTGTAAAAAAACCCAAGAGATCTGTCTTTAGTAATACAATAATTAAACTTCTTACAAAGTATTCTCACTTTGAAGCTACAAAAAAAGGCATTTAAATTCATTATTTGAGCAGTCAAAAACCCATGACCTTTCTTCTCCAAGAGTTTCTGGCTGTGGATTACCAAAATGGTGCAAAATCTCAGTATTACATATATGGGTGCCCAAAACATATGGAGCTAGAACTTCCCAATACTACTGTTATCCTGCCAGAACACCACATTCTGTCTTCTCAGACGGTCCAGCAGACTTCTAGGCTGCTATCCTACATCTCTATTCACCTCTGCCAGCACTGCACCTCATCTTCAGTTGCAACACTTGAAATATGCTTTCACAAGGCTAAACAAAAAGGACAATCAATATTAAAAACAACCACTTTTAGAATAGTCTTCAATGAAACTACATCAGCCTTATTTTTTAATGTCTGCAAGGTATCTATGTGTCAAAGTGCAGCTAGAAATACTTCTACCAAAATCAAATTACTCATCTAGCACTATCCACAGCAACTATTTATATTGGACTTCCCTGTGGAATATATTATTTGTTTCCTAAATAATATGAACTAATCCATTGTTTAAATTATTTCAAATACAATGCTCAGAATTTGCAAACTACTGCAACACACCAAGTTTACTTAGAGAAGGGATGGATTTCAGAAGTCACAACATTGTGAGCTTTGCAGAAAATACGTTTTCCTTGAAATGGTACTTGAATATCCTTGAAGAAGGAATTACCTTTAGCCTATAAAATATAATTTCTGGCAACACTCCCTAAAGTAGAACATGCTTGCCTCTAAAAATAAGCCACAGTGCTAGCAGCAGCACAGATTACTTTTTTTTTCTGGCAGAGAGAGTCTGATGCATCCAGAAATGACTGCAAAAAGAGACGACCAAGTGACTCCAGCTCAGTTCAGCCGCTCAGTTGAGTGGCAGCAACACAACCATAAGGCTGCCAGTGCCGGTGGCCACTGCCTGCAGGTGGCATTGGCCACAGGTGACACTGGCCATGGGCAGCTGGTGGCATCCCCTGTGGCAAGGAGTGCTGGGGAGCAGCTCCTTGCCCTGAGGTGGAGGCACTGCTGTGACCACCCTGAACGGGACGGGGGCAGGAGGTGTATTTCTCTGTGTGTGTGTAAATATGCACGTGTGCGTGCTTTCATATACATGTACATATGTGCATACATGCACACAGATATATGCAAATATATATATACATACACACATATATATATATACACATATATATATATACACATATATAGAATCACAGAACCACAGAATCACAGAATATGCTGAGTTGGGAGGGACCCATCAGGATCATTGAGTCCAACTCCTGGCCCTGCGCAGGGCACCCCAAGAATCTCACCGTGTGAATGAGAGCACTGTCCAAATGCTTCTTGAACTCTGTCGGGCTTGGTGCTGCAACCACTTCCCTGGGGAGCTTGTTCCAGTGCCCAACCACCCTCTGGGTGAAGCACCTTTTCCTCATACCTAACCTCAGCCTCCCCTGGCACAGCTTCAGGCCGTATCCTCGAGTCCTGTCAGTGGTCGTGAGAATGAAGAGACCAGTGCTTGCCCCTCTGCTTCCCCTCGTGAAGATGTTGAAGACTTCAATATACACACTCCTGTATATATGTGTGCGTGTGTGCGTGTGTATCTCTGCCTGTGTCGCTCAGTGCGTGTCCCTGTGCCACCCTTGCACCAGCCCCGGGCAGGGCTGACCCCGCAGCTGCCGCCTATCCCGCCGCCGGAGGCCCTAAGCGGGCAGGCCTCTCTCGGTACCGCCCGGCGGCGGCCCGTCCCCCGCGCTGCCCGCCTGCACACTCTGCCGGGCGGGCGGCCCTGGGTTGGCCTGGCCCGGCCCGGCCAGGCCCCGGCCCAGCCTTACCCTCGGCGCTCTCCTTCTCCTCCATGGCAGCCGCCGGCGCTGTCGCCATAGCGACGCGGGCCTGGCCGGGCCCGGGCGGGCCCTCTCCTGCACACACCAGCGGGGTGTAGGGCGTCGCTCCCCGCTGTGCTAAAGAGATGGAGAACGTACCCAAACCTCATGTCTGACCCCCACTGCACCCCACTGCCCTTCCAGGCAGGAATCAAGTTAAACCTGCCGCTTAAATCTGACACTTCAGAGGACTACATTTCTCTTAAAGAGTTCTCCCAGCAATTGCAGAGATTTCCGTGTATCTCAGCTTTAGAAAGTGAAAGAACATTTTATTCTAAATACCATCGCACCGAAACAGCTAAAATATTCTGTCTTAGTGATATTAAATAAAACTGTGTAGTTTAAATTTAGCTGTGTGTTTTAGCAGACAGGGTTGCGATGCCTGGTTCTTCTGACTCAAAAACAACTGTGAAAATAGAAAAAAATATAAATATTAATATTTTGGCAAGATAAAATCATATATTCCTAGAAAATAAACATTTATGAAATTCCTAGGACTAAAACCTCATCCTCACCACAGCAGGTGCTTGTTTGTCAGATATTAAATTTTTGCAAAGCCCGTGTGGATGACTGCTCCTCACACATTCATTTCCACCTCTCAGTTACAATGTTCCCCGTATTCATGGAAATTTCAAAAAACACATTGAACTTAGAGAGGTCTTCTCTGCTTTAAAAAACATCCCTTTTTTAAAACATTTTAGCATTTTTTATTTGCCTTTCAGCCACTTTTTTTTTGCATTTTTATTGAATGTGGCTCTGAATAAAGATGGTATAATAGATACCCAAGAGAATACATCTTTACTCTGTTCGGAAAACAGCTGATTACGCTCTCTAACAAAGCTGATCTCTCAGAAAGGTTATCTACTGACATGAGCAGTTTATTAAAGTAACTAAATATTTCAAATTATGTTTGACTACAGGAGGAGCACAGATTTGTTTCCTCTCAAATTGGTAAGAGAAATTTTTGTGAGAACAGCATGGCAGCAAAATTTAGAGGATGCAGTGGCAGCAGAATGAAAGACTCTTATCTTTCAGTCTCACAGGGGTCCCATTTCTTATTCCCTCAACCCCTCCACACAGAAAACTTTTTTCTTTCCTGGTTGTAGGCATGTGGTGGTGGATCAATCACATGTTTGAAACTGAAGTAAAGTGTGAAATACATTGTTTTGGCAAGGATGGAGTTTTCTTATCTCTTCCCTCTCCTACCCCAAATGCGGAATTTCATGTTCTTGAATATTGTACCCAGCGTTATATTTCTTATGTAATTTTCCAGATCACCTAATTAATCACAGCACACTTACAGCTCTTCTATGAATGCTACACTGATTCAAGTGTTTACTACATATCCCTAAACAAAGCTTTAAAAAATCCTGTTCTAGTTATTCAGGTTTTCATGATAAATCTATGCCCAGAATATGAACAGCTTTCAGCTTTAAAATACATACAAATATTGCTTATTGTGTAAACTTATTGAGATTATTGTGTGTTTATAGTAGCCTTTGAATTGAAGTGAGTCACTGAAAATGTGACGTGAAAAGGCAGGAACTCCACTCAGGCATCCACCTATAATATCTTCCCAACAATTTCACCAGGGCTTGCACTTGGCTTTCCTCGCTATTCCTTTGTTTCCTCCAAGAGAGATGGTAATGAAAGCAGTGGGCAAAAGCTGATGAAGAAAGGGAAAATGGTGAAATACGCTACAGAGATGACACATCATTTACACCACAACATCTATGTCCTGTTGCAGCAGCCAGCTCCAGCCCTCGTGAGCTGCTACTATAGCTCCTTGGGGAGAGTGTCGTTCTGAGTGTATAAAGGTATTGCTCGAATCCTGGATGTTTGTACTTGTTAAGTTAGGTGAAGAATCTTCAGTGACTCAGAGTCATATTAATTTCAGCTAACAGTATTTTGAGCTGTCCTGTCTGTGTTGTTGAGATTCCACTCAGGACAATTACTGTAAATCAAAGTGCTTCCTTTGCATTGTCTGCTCCAGTGTGGAGTTTCCTTTTGCTTCCAGTAGCTTGCAGTCAAGTGTCAGCACCTGTTTCTCCTTCTTCTCCCAACTCCTGACACACAGGGCTCTGATATCTCGGCTCCAAAATATGGAATGAGAAAGCACTTCAAAACAAGAACTCACTGCTTTAAAATTTCCTGGCAACGTCTTGAAAAAAATCTATGTAGCAAAAAAGTGTTAACAATTATAATGCAAATCAAATATTGGACCTGAACCACATGGCTGTTTCCCTTCTAACTTAATGCACAGATATCTCAAACCAAGGGTATGAGTGGGCTGAAACAACTAATCACATTTTGGCACAGACAAGTACAAAAGGAAACCCAGAACTACTAATTCAACAGCTTGAAATATCAGCTGCTGCATGCAAGATCTTTACAGAGCTTCTCTGAAGAGAACATACCCTTTTAAAATTGTAACTTTTCATTTAAAAAATGTCAGAAAATATCTCAGGGAAAATATGGAAGGATCCAGCATTACTGATACAAAGCCTGGATCCACTGAAGTCTGATAGACATAAGGTACCCTTACTTTTGAACCTAATTTAATCACATACATTCCTGTGAGCTATCAGGGTCCTATCACACATTTTGCATATTTTCCATGCATATGTTCAGAAATGTTATTCAGCAATAAAAACCAGCTCTAAAATGGGAGAAGTGACGTAAAAGACAAAGCAGTTCAAGGCGGTGTAGTAACATCCTGTAAAACAGTGTCCCCCCATGGCTTCAGGGCTGCAGCATTTGGACACATCTTTGCACCAAACACTTGCTGAAGACCTTCACTGTAGGACTCCCTCTCTGGGTCCTTGGGGACCATGTAACTGAAGGCACAAAGAAGCATATTCCTTTGCTCTTCTCAGAGAAAGCAGGTGGATAACTGTAATTCTGTGACAGGACTCTACCTGTAACTCCTCCGCAGCTAAATGGGTATAGATGTACCACTCAGCAGGCATTTCCATGTCACAGTACCCTTTCTAACCAATGTGACATGAATGGCCCAAGTGCATTTGGCACCTTCATTCCACTCTTTCTCTGGGATTAGCAGCTGATTTGTGTCACTCAGAAACAGACTCTTCAAAACAGAGTATTATCTAAACATCTGTTCACCCAAATGATACACATCAACCAGATAAAAATGAGAAAAAGACTCCATTATTCCTTGCCTATGCTGTATCTTTCCCTACAGAATTTAGGTAAATTACACTGAGAGCAGCTACCTCATTCTTTGATGTGTGGGAGGGAAGACAGCTTCTCCTCTGACTTGTTCTCTTTGTAACAGTAGGCTTTTATCCTATGTTTGGACCAGATGAAGAGAAGCCTAACAAAGTGGGTAGAGACAGACATATAGGCATGCCCACCATTATCTGCTCTACCACTGACCTCCTCTGGGCTGCTGGTATGTTTATATTAACCTTATCTGCCAAAACTTTGGGTTCTTTGTAAAAAATAAGTTTTCCTCTTCTCACCTATAGAATAGCAAAAAGCACATAAATTGGCAAGGGAGTTCCTTTACTTTTTCTGTAGGTCATAAACCTAGAAGCAAAAAATCTGATCTCTTAAATAAAATGTCAGCATATGATTCCCTGACACATATGGAATTCACCATTGCTGAAAGGGGAAGATCCAAGTCTTGCTCTTCCTTCCCTATTGCTGGCTGCACAACCTCCTTCTACCTTGTGCTGGTTCTGCCACTCACTGAGAGCAGATATGAGTCACTAAAGTACTAAAAAAACAATCCAGCAAAAAGTGAATAGTGTTCTGCCATATTAAGAAATTCAGAAAAGGGTTTGACAAGCATCTCAATCAGCACATCCAGGAAGTTGGACCATGCAATTAGAAGAGAGGGAGAAATAGAGAGGAAGGCAAGAAGGGTGAGATATTCTTTTACAGGTAGAAGGCTCAGTGATTGGCTAAGTCCATAAGTAAAATACAGAAGAAAGAAAGGGGAAAAATCAGGTTTGAAGTCTGCTTATAATAGCAGCGTTTCAAACCCTTCTCAGTCCATGGGATTGCTTTGGAACTGTCCTGGTAAATATCTATCATGTACAGCTATGGATCTTTTGGATCTTTTGCTCCTCCTGTCCAGCTTCAACAAAGCTACACTTGAGGAAAAGTGACTGAACATACATTAAAAATGAGTTACTAGAAAAAAAAAGCATTTTTTACTGCAGCAATATTCTTCAATGTCAAGGAGTTGCTGGCAGTGCTTGGCCTCTGGGACTACGCCTAAAGAGCTGCAGCAGAAAAAAGCTCTCTCTTTTATATGTAAGTGTCAGGATGCTGTTCCCCATCCCACCCAGGCACAAAAATGGCCCTAGGGATCCATATATTTTAACCTTCAGACTTTATTACCATTAATTATATCTAGAAGTGAAGCCAGGATCCCTGAGAACACGGTAGCAGGAACAAAACACAATCATCCATCTGCCTAGCAACATGGGTTGCCATGAGTACTTCTCCCCATGCTCCACAGGCAGCAGGGGCTCACCACTGAGCACCGAGCCAAGTTCACGGGCCCCGTACTGGTAAAGAAAGCCTGCTTCCTCAAATGAAGACCTTGGATTCTATATCTAAGATGCCTGTGTTCCTCTGGAGCCTAGAAGGCATCAGCCAGTAGCCTGACATTCAGGAATGAGGGACTTTTGGAGTACCGAGACAAGGTCAGTGGAATCCCTCTTTCAAGAGACAAAAGCAATGATGTTGGCAACATCAGTGAAAACTCCATTCTTGCCTTCTCTGTTTCTTTTGAAAAAGTTCTTTGCATGTTTCAATACCATGCCAAAGAAAATCCCAAATAACATACTCTCAAATGACTGAAGGACTTAGGAAGAAAAGAAGAAAAACCCGAGTGGTACTGAACACATGGAAATACTCTAAAATGTCCCTAGCTTGGGAAATCCTTGAATCACAAACCATTTGTAGGAGGCTGAGAGACAGAGTATTGAAGATACTCATTTGCCTGATTCTCCACTGAGCACCTTCTTTAGGCGTCACTAGAAGAAAGGATTCTCAAAGAGATGAACATTTGACATGTCCCAGAAGGCTCATCTTGGTATTCTTAAAAAAGCAAAAGATTATTTGATAATTGTTTAATATTTAAGCGAGGCCCTCTAATAAGGTGGTTATCTAGAAGCTGTGTAAAAATAGAGATACATGAGGAAAACACAAAATCAAAGATTTCAGACTGATAATTAGACAATTGTAATTGAATAGTGCCATGGGGGGGAGTGGAAGGCTTAGACAAAGT